TACCAAGGACTTCATTCTGTAATTCACTTCGTAGTTGTTCACATCATTGTTTTTGCAACCTGTTTATTGCCAGTGTTTCAAATTAAACCCTCCGACCGGCTTCATATTTGTGTTAGGAACAGAACGGAAATAAAGCGAGCACTTGTCAAGATAATAACATAACCCACATTTTTGTAAACGCACTCTTCGCTTGAACGTCGTGGCCTACAATATTGGGAGAGAGTGAGATACCGTTGAGTCCAGGCTCCGCGTCCACCGGCCGCTAAACTAACCGACACTCCGAGTGCGACTAACGACTATTACCACCACCCCATGTGTTCTTTTCTCTCTCCTCCTCTCCCTTTCTCTACTTTATTTCTGTCCACGTACAGACGAGTGTATAGGGGTATTGGTCGTTTCGTAAGCCTGATCTCCGACACTACCGAGGGAGGTAGTGTAGTCCCCCCCTTGTTATATCCACCAAGACGAGGGACTCCCAAGGTTTGTGCAACTGTCGTTTATCTGTGGTTGACGCGTGCGGGAGTGATCATCAAACATGTGCTTTGGTGTTGGTTATTCTTCTTCAGGACCATGGTATGACAGAGGCCACTCGAGTTAGAAAGTTATCGTACATAAAATGACATGTGTTGTATTGTCCTCCGGATCGTGTCACCAGTAAACGACAGTTTGTACCAAACTTGGGAGTCCCTCGTCTTAAGTGAGTCCATCAAGGGGGGGGGGCTTACTACCTCCATCGGTAGTGTCGGAGTCTTGGGGTCTTACGAAACGCCATACCTATACACTGTACGTTGTACGTTGGACAGAAATAAAGTAGAGAAAGGGGGTGGAGAGAGAAAGACACAGTGGGGGTGGTGGTTTTAGTCGTTAGTCGGCACTCGGGGAGGTGGTCGGTTAGTTTAGCGGGCGGGTGGGACGTCGGGAGTCTTGGACGTAGTGTATCTCCTCTTCTGCCTCTGATGTTTGTAGCCGACGTCAGGAGGTGGCGTGTTTCATTGGTTTTTTTATCTTGTCTAAGTGTCTCGCTTTATTTCCTTCTTGTTCTACACAAATATGAAGCCGTCGGAGGGTTAATTTGTATAACCTGTCAAATAAAAGGTTGCAACAACATGATGTGCAAACTGACGTAAGTTGAATACAGTAATGTGAAGTCTTGGTAAAAGTGCGTGTAACTTTGAAATTGTTCTATCTCATTCTTTACGCTGACCATTTTCATAAAAGAGAATATCGAATTGTTTACTTAATTCGGATGGACATCACAGAAAATTGAGAACGACGTTTTTATGATTTTTCCTGTATTTGAATGATATGTCCCGTTTTGTGTTCATACTGAATTAGTAAATTTCAAGTCAATTACTCACTTAATTAATAGTATATTTTTCATAAATTTATTTTACAGTTATATTAAATTTAATTCGGTTCTAACAAAGGTGTAGTAGTAGTACCGCGGTCTAAATTTTGAAAATAAAAATAAAAGGATGTATAAAACCGTGACGTTGGAACTTTTCAAGTAGACTGTCACTGACACCAGTTACGTAAATACGAGTGATTTTCACGACGTGATCGACTTTTTCAGGATCTTTTACGTGTAAAAATTATTTAAGGTGTCTCTTGATGTCACTGAACGCAAAGTCCTCACAATTTCCCTAAATTTATTTCACTTTATATGTACATGATAACCTGACCAAAACATTCTTATTATCTGTACAACCAATCACAAACGTAATCTAAACACTGTTATTCGTCTAGGTCCGTTTTGGGGACAGTTCCTACTATGTGTGTGGTTGTGCGTCAGTTGGTTATTTGGTGTCTACTGGTACTTAGTGTTTCTCGAAATTTAGGTCAATAATTTTAAGAGGTAATTTTTTTTCTTTGTAATTTTTTTATTAATTTTATCTAGTAAAGATTATATTTAATGTTGTGAATNATGTCCCCGTTCTTTTTTTAAATATACGTTAAAAACACATAGCAAGGTGACTTGACCACAGCCTGTTTACCCAGTGTTTCCTGACATGAAAAGTTTTATTTCACCTTGCTATGTGTTTTTAACGTATATTTAAAAAAAGAACGGGGACATTTCCGGGGACAGTTTCAACCGGGGACAGGCCAATACAAACGGGGACTGTCCCCGGAAAACATTAAATGCATCAATCTGGTGCACTTTGAGAGCAAAAATGTATTTATAGATACATCTCTAAACATCCATAAAGAAACAGAACTGTAAACAGATTTTCTTTTTGGATATTTTCCAAATCACTCACCTTTTAAACTGTATTCTTGTTTTACTGTCATAACAGTTTTTCATTTATTCTCATAAATGGTGACCAAAACGTTTGAGACCCACTTGAGATAACTAGACTAAAGTTAACTATCTAAACACTCCCTTACCTCACTGAGCTGTAGTTATCTCTCTCAGTCTGACAGGACAGAGCTCTCCCTTTCCTTGTTTTAGAAACAGCTTTTAATATCTGTTAGCGCAGCTAGCTACCCAGATGCTAACAACAACAATGCAAAAAGTGACTTTGGTAGAAATATACTGTATAGTAAGTTATTTAAGATGATGCCACATTTATTGAAGATTTTACATTATAATATTCTCCAAAATTATTCAAAAGCATATTCTTCCAAACTCCTTGCTGTAGTATGACACACAAGAGACTATTGATGTGTGTAGTGAGTTTGGTAGTAATAAGCTGTATAATTGTGATTGCATATTATTGTATTCTCTTTTTTCGGAGTTGCACTTTGCAGACGGTCCCTGAGCACTCGTTTCTTCTCTGGCTGCGGATAGATAGAGACCAGTGGCGAACCGTGTCTATCACAACTGGACCTTCTGTAGACACACACATATTGATAGATGTCTTGTAATGCACTGTAGCATACACTGTAGTTGAGTTGTGTATATGATATGTCAATAAACCTTAGAAAATCTTGAAAGGGATGTGCAAAATAGCAATTATATACAGTTTTTAATTAACTATTAGTAAGAGAATAACGAGTAATTAATATACTTTATAAAGATCTGCAGATAAATGTTTAGTCTTCTCAAGCACCAACTATCAAATATCTCTCCTGATTGTTGGCACTTTCCCTGAATTTGACTCAGGTGTAACTAAAGTCTGATTTAAGGGTTGTTTATATTTCACATCATTAATCAGAATCTGCAAAGTAACTCAAATAAGTGTAGTGGAGTAAAAATACCAGGTTAACCTCTGAATTGTAGTGGAGTAGAATTACAAAGTAACAATGAGCTGTCATGTGGGTATATATTAATACTGCGCATTATGGACACAAGCGATTTTCACCCATTTATTAAGTATATGTTTTACATTTGATAACACCAATGTGTTTAATACTGGCAATTCTAATTATGGGAAAAACGAAAACGTTCAGTAGAGACGTCCGATACAACATTTTGCGAAACACAGTAGCCAGCATGAGTAGTTCTGGGGGGGGGGGCGTTCGATTCCAGTTTTGGATTGTCTGGCGTGGTTTCGTTCAATTTCAAACAGCTTTTTGACGCTCGGTGTAACCTTGGCGCACTGCCACTCCAACATCCAATCCCAGAGCTTGAAGATTAATCACGGGGACTGTAGTCCTAAACGATAGCTGGGGATTATGGGTAGTGTAGTGTCTTCGGCCATCCTAAACTCCTAGAGGCCTACGTCTGTTTCCGGTTATTTTTATTTTGAAATTCAGTTCCTGACGGACGCCAAAAAAGCCCGAGATTCTAGAATTAAGCCAATAAATGAAAGCAAGGATAATTGTGTGTTATTGGTGAGTAAATAACAGTGTGAACAAATTAGAAGGAAAAAAATATTAAAAAAATACAGATTTCAGTATTCTGAGGCTCTGAGCCCCATTTCTTTTCCTCACAGACGGCAACAAAAGTCAGAAATTATACGATTTAAAATAAAAGCAATAATTGTGGCTTGATATTGAGTAAGAACATGTTTTTATGAACCAAACAGCTTCCGGTCTCCCATGACCCGACCGGAGAAAAAGACGTGCTGCAGGCACGAAACACATTACCAGTAGAAATACATTGCTTTTAAAATCGTGCTGTGCAACACGGAAAAAAGGGGAAAATCGTGTTGGTGAACACGAAATGCCATGAGACTGGGTTGCATATATACATAGTCCTATATATATGTAGGCTATATATATATTTTACAAAATGTATCGATCAGATTTTCTATTTCAGATGTATTTATTTGTTTATTATTCAACACTTTGGAGTTTTAAGTAACTCCCAACATCAAAATGGTAGTATTAGCTCTTATTCAGTCATAAATCAATATTAATGAAAAATGCAATTCCATTGCTGTTATCTGTTTTCCCTTTGACAGTTATTGAGAAATATTTGAATCCCTTTAGGTTTAATTAGTAGAAAAGCATCACTTTCTAACTTAATATTTGATCTTGTTTATTACCAACTCTTAAACTACTTTAAAGGCATAATAATCAGAATTGTTTATTCTTTTGCACTGAGCCAGATATTGTGTGAGTATTACCATAAGAAAAAAAGGAGGAAAGTAAGAAAAGGGGCAGGGTGAATGATGAAACAGGGACCTAAAGGAAAGAAAGAAAGTTCTCAGAAAGCCCTGCTGTGGACAGAGAGCAGGTCTGGAGAATCTCTGCTCCCTGCAGCTGCTGACAGACAATAATTAAGATCTAATGATTTATTAACATGCTGATCCTCAAATGGAAACGGAATCTTTACCCAGTGTACCTCCATGTGTGTCTGTTTCTCCACTGCTAATGGATTTGTGGAAAAAGATTGCTCTTGGCCTCTTGAGCTGACTTACAAAAAAAACCTGCATGTGTGTATGCAACGTGTTTGTGTGTGTGCAGGTATTTGTAAATCTCTGCTACATAGAGTATTTCCTCTTCACATGGCCTGGTCATTGCATCAGGTTCTCCACCACTCATCTACGTCTTCCAAAAATATGTTCTTTTTTCTGTCATCGATGCATTTTTCCTCAAGTCTTTGTTAGGTATCTCTACAAGGGAACCTTTGTGGAATTATTAAGAGAACAATCTGAAAATAAAAAGTCCTTGTGGCCTTACAGTATAATGACCATTCGATATTAGAGCAGAGGTGGAAGAAGTATCTAGATGCTTTACTCGAATAAAAGTACCAATACATTATTGTCAAGTCCTCTATTTCAAATCTTACTTAAGTCAAAGTAAAAAAGTATTATCAGCTAAATGTACTTAAAGTATAAAAGGTAAAAGTAATCAAAGTCCAGAAAAATATACTTTATGTGTGTATATCATTATATTTATATGTAATCTTGTGACTTAACAAATGGAGTGGAGTACAATTACATGTTTTCCCTTTTAAATGTAGTGGAATAGAAGTATAAAGTAGCATTGAATTGAAATACTCAAGTAAAGTACAAGTAGCTCCGAATTGTACTCAAGTAAAGTACTTGGGTAAATGTACTTGGTTACATCCCAACTCTGGTAAAGAAGAAAAAAAGCAACACGTACAGTAGAAGTGATGTATGAGTCCTACCTGTAAGCCCCTGAACACTCCATGGGTGTGTATGCGGTACTGTGTGCTGCAGCTGTACAACATGGGGGTGTTGGGTTCACTGTCATAGCCTGCTGCATGGCTGCAAGAAAGGGAAATTAGAAATAAATAAAGTTAAACAACAGTTCCTTTACTTAAACATTAGAACATTGACACAACTCTTACATTGTTTTGCAGCCAAACTAGCAGGTTATGAGACGTAACATATGTATAACAAAATGCAACAACATGATTCAATGCCATTAATCCATACAATTCAACACACTGACAGACATATAGAGAATGAATTGCTGTTTTACTGTATCGTGAAGATATCATTATTCAAACAAGTTCACCTTGTCACACAGCCAATAATGCAAAACACAGACCAATAGTTAGGGAGAACCAGCTGAAGCCTCTGTGTGTGTGTGTGTGTGTGTGTGTGTGTGTGTGTGTGTGTGTGTGTGTGTGTGTGTGTGTGTGTGTGTGTGTGTGTGTGTGTGTGTATGTGTGCGTGCATTACTTCATAAAATAATGTAACTATCTGGATGAATGTAGATGCCTGGTTATCTTGGTGCTGTGCAGTATTTTCTAAGTTGTGTTTTTTTTTTTTTTCAAGAGTTGAGAAATACTGTCTTCAATATTTGGCATGAAAATGATTCCACAAGATGATTTTCCCCTTGGCATTAATTAAAATGCTTTAACCGTTTATCATGTTTTATTTTGTAATTTGTTTAACTGTCCATTCCATTACAAATAACACGCAACAAAACATTCCTATTAAACTAAACTGTACTTTTGTCGTAATATTATGCAAATGTTAACATGCTAACACCCTTAACTAACTTGGTGAACATGGTAAACGCGATATGGGCTAAACAAGTTAGGATTGTCAATATACTGTACTTCAAGGTTGTTAGCATACTAGCATAGCCTGAAGCTGCATTTACATGATACGCAGTAAGGCGGCTCTGCGCTGTCGTTCCGTTTCTATCAAGAGAGCGGTGCTGCCGACTCCAAATTGCCCAAAGTTCCTATTATTTCAAATTTGAACTAGTAACTGCTAGTAAGTGACCTTTCGACGTACAACCAATCAGATAACAGCTGTATTTAGCGGCGCAAGCTAGCAGAGGAGGTTACCCTAGAAGTGAACTTCTTCCTATTGATCAACATCAGCCATGTGTAATGTTACCTTTACCATACATAAATGTACTGTAATCTAATAGGCCTACATTTCCTACATTTGTCACAAGTCTTTTTCATAACTGTTGATAATATTTTTTCATAATCAATGAATCACCAAAACAATAGAAAGTCTTAGAATTGCTTAATTTTCTTACCAATAGTCCAAAGACATTTAAGTTACAATGATATCAAACTGAAAATCTTAAACAATTAGCAATCTAACTTAAAAAATAGATGGGTTTCTTCATGATTAGATGATTGATCATATCGATATCTCTTTACATATTTAGGTACTACAGTAACATGTATGTTGTTAAGTGCTGGCCTCATTTACTTTCCTTCTTTGGTTTATTTTTCACTGTGGAGGCTAGTGAGAAAAACAAACTTTGACATACTGTATCGGGCAGAACAAAGCCTGCTCTGTGTGACGCAGCTGCCAGTGTTGCCTATCTTCTTATGATAACACACAGAGAAACAGAAAGCTCTTGTCTAAATATGAAATGTGTTATATTTCAGTCTGTCTAACCAAACGAGGAGGATGGGAGTTTGCATCCTGTGCTGCTGCAGAGGGAATGTGCGGTACACGGCCGGGCGTCATAAGGTGCTCTTTGTTTCCACATACAGGAGGAGAGACAGGACGACTACGTCAGTGATATACACGGTGTTAATCAAACTGAACGCTCCTTTACTTATGTTATCCATACATATCTTGGTATTTTAGCTGGGACACCTTAGTCAGGGATCATGGTTCTTCTACCAATACATCTTTAGCTCCATCACTATGATTAAAGGAATACTTTGCCCTGAAAATGACCATTTATATAAAAAAACTCGCCCAGGTTTACCTTGAATTCAAGAAGAAAAGGTTGTTTCTATCGCATGTGTCAGTGAACGAAGAAACCACAATGGGAGTAAATTATTGATCCTTTGAAGTAAATGGGGCCGTCATCAATAGCAAAACTATATCAAAAGATTATTTTACAAAATCTCAAACTCCTGCAGAATATTCCAAGTCCCATTTATCAAATATTCTTACTACTTTTAGTTTTCACTAAAACCTTACTATTTAAAACAATCAAACAAGAAGTAGCCTGTGCAACTCATGATACAGTTTATGTGGAAGGAAATAGATCGTTTTTACGTAGTTTTTCTTAAACGATTAACCATTTATTTAAATTCCTCAAAACTTTTCTAATTTTTGGATTCCCTGTTTAAAGTGGAGGCATGCTAGAATATCACGGTTTTATCTTGCATCGAAAATAAAACAGGCTGATTGAAAGATAAACAAACGATCATTTTATGGGTGAAGTATTCGCTAAAGGCCTTATTGATTAAATAAATGTTTCGTAAATGAATGTGAATGTGCCCCAGCACCAATGGCAACACCATTACAACAATGCTTCCAAGAATTTAAACAGGGAATCTAGCATCTATTCAGCAGGTGCTGTGTGGTTCTGTGCAGAGCGTGAACATTGGGAACGGGCCTATCTGCTCTTCCTCTTTAAGCTGTACTCCCCTACACTTCCTTTTCCTCCTCTCCTGCACCTCGCCTCGTCGCTCTTTATCTCCCTGTGTTACTGAATCCCTCCTCTTTCTCTTCCTCCCCATCCTTACTCCCTCACACCTCCCCTCCCTCCTCCTGCTCCCCAGAGTGAGTACAAAGGGCCACAGAGAACCAAACAGCATGATAGTCCAAGATGACCAAGGCCACTGAAACATTTCTTATCAGCTGTTAGTCAGAAAACTTGAAAACTCAAATTCTTCTCTCCTGTCACTCAAAATTACCTTACATGTCATTTAGAGATACCTTTGGGAGCAATTTCTGGTGATAAGTATCTACCCAAAGGGCACTTTGACATGTCAACTGCAGGGGCTGGGGATTGAACCCCTGACCCACCATTTGGTAGAGACCCATAAAACCTCTGAGGCAATTTCACCAAAATAATAGTAAGGCCCCAAAACGCTCTGATACCCCATTTAATGAGCCTCACTAACCACAACACTTGGAACACACACACACACACACACACACACACACACACACACACACACACACACACACACACACACACACACACACACACACACACACACACACACACACACACACACACACACACACACACACACACACACACACATTCATGTGTTAAGTGATGATGAAGGCATGTTGGCTCGGAGTAGAAGGTATTTGTGAGCCGACACAGATGCTGACCAGCGTTCAGCAGCTCTACAGGTCACTATGACATGAAGTACAGTGCACTATACGGAATGTTATTAACCCTGTGTGAAAAGGAGAGGCTGATACTGCAGTGATAACTGGTCCTAAATTATTTTATACTTACAAAATGTAGTTGTATAACAATAACAATTCAATTTAGGCCAAATAGTGTTGCCGGGCTGCAGGTCTGTCCGTCAATACATCCAATACTTTGGTCCATGCTATGGTATCTCTATAATGGCAAACTTTTTTCTTACCTAAGTAGGGATTCCATTTCTTTTTTAAAGAAATGATGTACCTTCTGTCCCAAGGGAATGGGACATTTACTTTTTAATAGTCCATAGTTTGATGGATGTCGCTTGAATTGACACTAAAAAAATGCTTTTTTCATTGTTTTATTTATTTATTCCAAAAAAAAACACTGTTCTGCTGAACAAGCCAGGGCTGTTTACAATGATATTGTCCACACACCAGGTTATCCACATGCACCAAAAACTATGTCTTCATATATGAAAAATTACCTCAAGTACTGACTAACTACTGCTATTGATGCTCTGTCAAAAACAATCAGCCAGTAGATTTACTTTAATTCTAACCCAGTCTTTATGTTTCCCACCGTCTTATTTAATATGAACTTTGCTGAATATTTAAAAGCTCATAAAGCATGTGTATCCCTTTGTGGCGGTTGCTTTTTTGTTTTCTTCAAAGGAAGAATTCTAATGAAAAATGCCAAACAAGCACACACACAGCCCCCCACACACACAAACAAACTGTGCCTAAGATAGACACAAAGAAAGCTACATTCTCCCATAACTGCCACGTTTCATTAAACACAGCAGACTCCACAATCATTTTTTAGACCTGCCATGATTAAATACACTGCCACAAACACACACACACACACACACACACACACACACACACACACACACACACACACACACACACACACACACACACACACACACACACACACACACACACACACACACACACACACACAGATCAGATGTATAGCACCCCTAACGCCACAGCCCCTTCATCACAGCACCTGCCGGCCCGCAGCAGTCTGGCTGGGTAGATGTGGTGCCTGGTACCCTGCTCATTACACTGCTATTATTCCACAGTACAGCAGGGGCAAGCAGCCAGAAGAGCACAGAGGAGATTCCTGCTGAAGTATTGTTGGAATGGAGGCTGAGCACCAGAGTTAAAAGTAATGATTCATGACATTTTCAAATAAATATGTGTCAGATTTTCTTGTCTGTTGCTGATGTGATGGAACACATTACTGATTGAACATACATATATTCAATGAATGCTCTCTGTCCTCAACAACCAATGTGTTTCACAGGCGGTTCCCCTGGGAATCCCCCTGATTCACAGGAAGCTTGCAGCAGGAATCCTACATTTGGTTAAAAAAAAGCCTGACCATTTACCATAAGTAGTGATAGGTGCAAAGGATGAACCGAAAGAGAAGCAACTATGGAAACAAAACCACTGAATATCCAAGGAAAAACATATCAGCATGTTAGAAATGCAGTAAAGAGACACCACCAATTAAAACAAATAAAATAGATCCAAACATTTTAAATCGATGCCTTACACCAATACAATGGTGGTCAATGTAATATAATTTGCTAAAATCATCATAAAGATAATGCTAACATGCGGATGTTAAGCAGATAAGATGTTTACGATTTCACCCTTAACTTCATCTAGAAACACGAGCAGCAGGCACGTGATGACCATGACGTAGTTTATTTATAGCTTTTTACTTCTGGCAGTTGCATTCACACTTCAAAATCATAAAAGGGGTGTTAATATGCGGAGATTATCCTGCTGAACAAAATGTGTAAATATCATAAAAGCGTGTTTGCCAAAGATCTTATTTTCTGCAATTTTCCAAAATCTAATGGTCAAATCCCCATTGCTTTTAGTAAAGGGAGCCTTTGCAAAACTTTTCATAACGTTTTATTGGACAAATTGACATTTTGAGAATCCTGTGGGCTACATGAATGTCTCAACAATTTTTCATTGTGATTAATCTAACAGTTGTCAAGTAATTTCACGAAAACCAACATTTGTCAATTTCTTAATGGCAATAAATAAAACCCCTCAAAGTCATTAGGATTACTTCTCAGGGAACCATGAATATATACAGAAGGTCTTACAGCAACCGTTCTAGTAACTGTTCAAATATTTCACTCTGGACCAAAATAACCATACAACACGGAGATCTTGGCATCCTGACAGCAATGCCTAAACTAAAGTATAGGTAAAAATATAATTTAAAACCACAAAAGCTATATATCTCTATCCCAAACAAAGTCCCCACTATTCTGGATTATCCTCTCATTATTTCTTATATGAAACTGTTTCTATCGTACTAACTGGTTTCAATGGAAACTTTTTCAGTTTATATGGTAACACAGTATTAAATGTATCGAAATATGTATGTGTGTGTGTGTGTGTGTGTGTGTGTGTGTGTGTGTGTGTGTGTGTGTGTGTGTGTGTGTGTGTGTGTATTAATAAGGCCTCAGTATGCTTTCATTTCATGTTGTTACAGCGGCCAAGCTGACGTCCTGCAGAGTAAATACAGTCCTGGTGGTACCAGGCGGCAAGATTAGACAACTGCCTCTACTCATGTGAGTCTTCCCAGCCGTGTGTGTGTGTGTGTGTGTGTGTGTGTGTGTGTGTGTGTGTGTGTGTGTGTGTTGACGAGAAATCAGTTATGTTTATGACAAAGAATACCCTCAGACTTTCGGGACCGTCTGAAGTATGTCCACCTCATCTCTATCACTTTTTCTTTCTTTCTCTCACTCTATCTATCTCTCTCTCTCTCACATACACATTTTCCATGGGATTCCTTCTGTTCTGCCTTCGTTGGAGAACAGAATGTTAGTAGCTTGTGAAGAATGTTTCATTTGTAAAGCATAATAAAAAGCAAACGGTGGGGAAACATACCTCCTTCAAATGTTTAGTTTGGTGGAAACATACGTATTAAAACCTGTTTATGATTTATAAATATTCTGAAGGGCATGATGTAGCAATCATGGAGATGTATTTTCATATTCTCCCGGTAAAGTTGTAGTCAAAACCGTTTGCATGGTGACCATTTCATGTACATGAACAAGCTGGTTGACCATAAGAAAGTTATTATAGCAAAAATATTTGTGCATGCCTCCTTGTCCTTGTTCTCCTATTAATATATATAAGGCAGTTAATGCCAAATGGACAATACGTTATTTTTTGTTTTTAAATGTGCTTTTGGTTCTGGTGTGTGGGAGAAGCAGGGATTGAAGGCTTAGGCAGGGTGTGGAGGTGAGTTGGCCGAAAGCAACAGTTTAAACTTTTGATACGGCAGGAGTAGGAGGACATACACTGGGGCAAAAAAGTATTTAGTCAGCCACCAATTGTGCAAATTGTTCTCCCACTTAAAAAGATGAGAGAGGCCTGTAATTTTCATCCTAGGTATACCTCAATTATGAGAGACAAAATGAGAAAAAAAATCCAGAAAATCACATTGTCTGATTTTTAAAGAATTTATTTGCAAATTATGGTGGAAAATAAGTATTTGGTGACCTACAAACAAACAAGATTTCTGGCTCTCACAGACCTGTAACTTCTTCTTTAAGAGCCTCCTCTGTCCTCCACTTGTTAACTTTATTAATGGCACCTGTTTGAACTCGTTATCAGTATAAAAGACACCTGTCCACAACCTCAAACAGTCACACTCCACTATGGCCAAGACCAAAGAGCTGTCAAAGGACACCAGAAACGAAATTGTAGACCTGCACCAGGCTGGGAAGACTGAATCNGACTGCTCAACTGAGGTATGTTTCTCGATTCATCCACGTTTCCTGGTTTGAGCTTAATTTCCTCCTAAGGTGTACAGTGGGGCAAAAAGTATTTAGTCAGCCACCAATTGTGCAAGTTCTCCCACTTAAAAAGATGAGAAAGGCCTGTAATTTTCATCCTAGGTATACCTCAACTATGAGAGACAAAATGAGAAGAGAAAATCGCATTGTCTGATTTTTAAAGAATTTATTTGCAAATTATGGTGGAAAATAAGTATTTGGTCACCTACAAACAAACAAGATTTCTGGCTCTCACAGACCTGTAACTTCTTCTTTAAGAGCTTCCTCTGTCCTCCACTTGTTAACTTTATTAATGGCACCTGTTTGAACTCGTTATCAGTATAAAAGACACCTGTCCACAACCTCAAACAGTCACACTCCACTATGGCCAAGACCAAAGAGCTGTCAAAGGACACCAGAAACGAAATTGTAGACCTGCACCAGGCTGGGAAGACTGAATCTGCAATAGGTAAGCAGCTTGGTGTGAAGAAATCAACTGTGGGAGCAATTATTAGAAAATGGAAGACATACAAGACCACTGATAATCTCCCTCGATCTGGGCTTCCACGCCAGATCTCCCCCCGTGGGGTCAAAATGATCACAAGAACGGTGAGCAAAAATCCCAGAACCACACGGGGGGACCTAGTCAATGACCTGCAGAGAGCTGGGACCAAAGTAACAAAGGCTACCATCAGTAACACACTACGCCGCCAGGGACTCAAATCCTGCAGTGCCAGACTTGTCCCCCTGCTTAGCCAGTACATGTCCAGGCCCGTCTGAAGTTCCCTGCTAGAGAGCATTTAGATGATCCAGAAGCGGAAGTTTGCTAGAGAGCATTTAGATGATCCAGAAGAGGATTGGGAGAAACTCAACTAGACGTGTTTGGAGGAGAAAGAATGCTGAGTTGCATCCAAAGAACACCATACCTACTGTGAAACATGGGGGTGGAAACATCATGCTTTGGGGCTGTTTTTCTGCAAAGGGACCAGGACGACTGATCCGTGTAAAGGAAAGAATGAATGGGGCCATGTATCGTGAGATTTTGAGTGACAACCTGCTTCCATCAGCAAGGGCATTGAAGATGAAACGTGGCTGGGTCTTTCAGTATGACAATGATCCCAAACACACCGCCCGGGCAATGAAGGAGTGGCTTCGGAAGAAGCATTTCAAGGTCCTGGAGTGGCCTAGCCAGTCTCCAGATCTCAACCCCATAGAAAATCTTTGGAGAGAGTTCAAATTCCGTGTTGCCCAGCGACAGCCCCAAAACATCACTGCTCTAGAGGAGATCTGCATGGAGGAATGGGCCAAAATACCAGCAACAGTGTGTGAAAACCTTGTGAAGACTTACAGAAAACGTTTGATCTCTGTCATTTCCAACAAAGGGTATATAACAAAGTATTGAGATGAACTTTTGTTATTGACCAAATACTTATTTTCCACCATAATTTGCAAATAAATTCTTTAAAAATCAGACAATGTGATTTTCTAGATTTTTTTTTCTCATTTTGTCTCTCATAGTTTAGGTATACCTAGGATGAAAATTACAGGCCTCTCTCATCTTTTTAAGTGGGAGAACTTGCACAATTGGTGGCTGACTAAATACTTTTTTGCCCCACTGTATGTTGGGGTTATATGTGAATACATATCTAGTATGTGGATTAATATTTAGTATGTGAGGCAAAAGAGTTGCTACAGTCTGTTGATACCGCACAAAATGAGTAGAAATCCAGAGAAAAAGACATTTCATTCGAAAAACCTCAGGGCATTTTTGATAGGATACTTTAAATAAAAAAATATATGTTTCTGTCAGAAGACAGCAGTGTGTTGAGAGGATATATTTCTGAAAGGTAGCGCTTCATTTTGTCATTTTCTGCAGCGAATCACAGACTGTTTTTGGACAACTGCTTGATGGGACTCAACTGAAGAATTGTATTAACCCTAAGCCTTTTTTCTTTCGTTTTGAAAAGTAGAGACCTGATTAGAAAATTCTTGCATAGCTTATGAGCTATGCAGGATTGGCCTGTATAGTTCAGTCAATGGCGAGCAGAAAATGTCCTAATAAATCAACCCACTTTTCTACAGAGCTTCCTGATATTGATAGTTTACTTCCTTCAGTGGCACCTTGACTTTTGTAGGTATCTGCGTAATAGAAAACGACTTGTCTGTACATAAACAACAACCCAAGTTAGGATTTTTTGATCTCCTCTTCTTATGGCGGAGTTGGCAGAAAAAGAGAGGAAGTGGATATAAGGCAGAGAGACCTGCTGAAGGTGGACTCCCTGTTCAACACTGCATCCTGCTACCTTTCACTTACTTACTGCTTGGGACAAACAACAATGGTTTCTGAAACCCCTTATTTGTTACGCTTTGTCTATTACAAAAATAGATATTGGCTGTGCAGGTACAAGGAGTTTGTTCCTAATCCAATCAGTGAGCTCTACTGTGTCTGAATGATAATTAAAGGTGGAGTTTCTGTATACGTTCACTCAAGGATACTAGCCAATTTGTGTCAGTGTTGTACAACCTTTAGAAATGGTGGTCCCCAAAATGGATGTTCGAGTCAGGTACCCCCACAACACCCTAAAAATAAGAACATGCATGTGTTTTACCTGTTGTATGGGTTCCTCAACAGCAGAGCCTGGCTGCCTGTACAGCTGTCTGAAGGTGTGTGGCATCCATACACAGGAGGAGGAACAGGATACTGCTGCTCAGCTGTGGACACACACACACACACACACACACACACACACACACACACACACACACACACACACACACACATTGTATTATTACCCATACAAAACAAAGATGAAACAAAAACTCCTCAGTGATTCACTCAGAGAAGAAACTTCCTTTTAAACTCTGCCCCTTCTTGCCCTCTCCTGTTTTTCTCCACTTTTCAGGAGTTTTTTTTGTTTACAATTAAAGCCACTGCACTTTACGTTTCTCTCTGAGATTCCCCTGCATCAGAGTAAATGGCTCCCTCGACAATTCTCTACATTCTAAAATCCCTCTCAGCTTAGATTCTCCCACTTATCTTTGCCCAAACAAAACATCAGAATTTACCGTGACGGCTTCGTTAAACCAACACATTTCAATATTTACTAAATAACGTTTTGAAGAAGGGATTAAATATGGGTGGATGAAAGAGTGGATGAGAAGATGAGAAGAGGAGAAGAGGGAGTTTGTGAGTCAGGATGTGGCTGATTTATACCTCCGACAGACGAGGTCACTGCCGAGACGTCAGGATAAGGGACAAGACACTCCCTAGGTGAGGGCCATGGAGCTGCCGTACAAACGCAGCTGTGCTTTAATATACACATAGACTTACACACATAGTCTACTATTGCTCTTATTGAAAGAGACTCTGATGCATTGTATTTATATTTAGGAAATTGACTTTTGAAAGATAAGAATGAATAGTCAGGTTATTCTAAAATGTGATCCAGAATGAGAGGGATAATCAGTAGTGAAATGTAACTAGGTACATTTACTCAGGTATTGTACTTAAATACATATGTACCATGTTATGATACTTTATACTTCTACTCCCCTCTATTTCGGAGGTAAATACCATTTTTACTCCATTACATTTAGTTGACACTCATACTTATTAGTTAGTTTTTACATATACAAAACACATGATATAATATGATGCATAATTGAACTACTACCTAGCATTTTACAAATTATAATATAATAGTTAATACTAAAATAATACTGGGAAAAAGAGCAATTCTGCATAACAAGTACATTTAGCTGATAATACTTGTGTTCTTCAACTAAGGTAACATTTTGAATGATGGAGTTTGACTCGTAATGAAGTAATTTTAGATGGTAGTATTTTTCCCTCACAGGCACTTCTTACACAATTTAGAACAAGTTAGAACAGGGTACAGTCAGCATACATTTGTAAGACAGTTGCTAAATGTAATGTAATTTGTTTTAGCCTACGTTAATGTCAGTTGGGTTGAGGAGGTAATGCAATTTATAATTGGACATAGTATGCATAGGGCCTTACAAAATGTAGCTACATTGTGTTTGAAATGTGCCTGGACATGATTTTTCACATTTGTTTTCAAAAAGGATGATGCTATAGAAATGTGTAGATACAGTACATTTTGTTAAAATTGCAACTAAAAAATACTACTATATTACTAAATGAGGCAGGTGCCTGTAAAAAGGCAAATAGCTTAGCAGTGTAGCATTAACCATTATACAATTACACAATTCAAGTGGGATTCACGCGAACCCCCGGTGGTTAAACTACATTTAAACCACACATTAAAATGTATTCAACTGCAATGAATTCATTACATTGATGTTTTATACAGTATTACCAGGCTCCTAGCAACATAATGTTACATTTAACTCCTATTAACTGACAACCAACATAGAGCCCAAGCTAAAAAATGTTTCGGTTTCTATACGGTTTCAACTTTCCATGTGTGTTGGACAGCATCATATTTTAAACTATTTTTGTGTCTCAAACAAATTCTCCTAAATGAATCCCACAAAAAGTTCAGCTTCCATTGACACTTACCCATAGTGCTTTGCTGTGTTAGAGCATCTTCGTGTTTGAAGGAGTGGTTGGAGAACTGCGAGCTGTGGTGTGTAGGAGTGTGGCCGTAATTACCGGCTCCATCGAATGCAACCGCGCTGTAACCTGCGACACAGAAACAAAAAGCAGAGTCACTGCATATTAATGTTGAATACATTCCATCAGAGATCACACATTGCTTGGAGCAGATACAAACATTTGTACTTTTCTTATTAGATTATCAGCCACAAGGACAAGATGCTGTTGGTGTATATCTAATTTTGCAATGACATTTTTTATTGTATGATTGTTTTTGACTGTAAAATTTGCTTTAAAAGTGTAAACACCAACTGATTAATACTCTAAATAGATTTGTTTAGTTGAAAAAAAGTGTGTTATTTAATGTTTTTATTAAACAACACACACACACAGAAGGAGACTAGAGCTGTGGCTGATATCCCCGACCAGCCTGACTCATGACTTAGACTGACCTAAAGGGCACAACACACTCCCATAAATCACCCACATGCACACACACACACTCACACAGAAACACACACACTCAAACACTATCTCTCACTCTCTCATACATGCTTCATTAAATAAAAAGATGCACTTTCACTCACTTTCCTCAGTGCTTCATTGGTTGAGAGGAGAGGGAAAAAACCTCATTAAACATGTCCATTTATCTTCCACTCACCTCTGTCTGACTCCTCTCTCAGTGTGTGTGTGAGTGTGAGTGTGTGTGTGTGTGTGTGTGTGTGTGTGTGTGTGTGTGTGTGTGTGTGTGTGTGTGTGTGTGTGTGTGTGTGTGTGTGTGTGTGTGTGTGACCGTGTGTGGCCGTGTGTGTCTGTGTGGCCATGTGTGTGTGGCCGTGTGTGTCTGTGTGTGGCCGTGTATGTGTTTTTATGTGTGTAGTAGGATACTTTTGTTGCCTTGAAGTCCAGCACTGAATATACTGTACACATAGACTTCATTGATGAGGTCAATTTGTATTAAAATGGAAAACCCAAGAATTCTTGGGGATTTTTTTAAATCTGAATATACATTTAGTTCAAATATTTGTAAATTAAAAATGTTGGGAAACCACAACTATAAAATATGCATTCCGTCCTATTTTTTCACTGACATTGTGATATTGGTAAATGCTTGTTTTGAACACTTTACCTGTCGTTAATAATTAGAAGACTACAGAATTTATATATTATCTTTAAAAATTAGCAGCACTCATGTTAGGTTATCTTTGCTACTATTACTATTAACTGATACAAAGTGCAGACCTGTAAAAGCTAGTTTATTTGTAAAACAAATTAAACATGTTCAAAAAATAAAAGTATATCAGAAATGTGTTTCGTGATTTTCTTTTGATTCATAAATGTTTTTCTTATTCGTATCGGCAGGGCTCACTTAACAAGAAACGTTTTCTAAATATCTGCATGATACTGTAGATGCCCTGATCCCATATCAAAAAATGAAATCCCTCCTGTGGAGGGGGGTCACAGTGATAGTCTCTGTGACCCTGCACTGCTATCAGACCCCCGTCCTGCTGTTGGTTTTTGTCTGTGCTCGTCCAGCCACAGCGGGGGGTGGGGGTGGGGGGTACAGATAAAACAGGTGAGAGGTCGGCTCAGCGCTTTGATTATAATGTTATTCCTAAATGATCTGCTTGATAAGCATGTTATTACTAATTAATCTGGTGGGGAACCACTAACAGATTCATTATCGGACATGGAGAAGAGCCGGGCTTAGCTGAGATCGGCAGGATACTGAGCAGTTAGGATTTTATTATAAAGTATGTATCGTTGATCATATGAATCCCCCATTAAGTTGGCTTTTACTCTGTAGCTAAAAATACAACTACTTTTCAAACAGAAAAGGAAAAGCCTATGACGAAAGTGATCCAGGCCCTTATAATGACTTACATTATGGGAACATTTATGAATTCAACTTTATAGCCTCTTTCCCGTTCTATTGAAAACCATTGAAATACATAAAAGCATTTATTCTACAAAAATAATGTATGTCTTAATGTCTAAAACAATTGTATCTGTTCAGTAGTGAATAACATATAAAATCAACATTTAAAGGAATTGGTATTTTTCAAAAAATGTATTTATACTTAAATTATTAGTGTATACAAATGTGAAAAACTGTTAAATGTAAGGAAAACATGACTCAAATAGATGAAATGACAAATGATAATAAATCAGCGATGCCTCAACAATCATGTATGAATTCCTTTAACTCTGGAGAGAAACATTTGAGAAAAAAATCTCGTTTGTCAAACATCACCTGGGCACACATTTGTATTAAGATGTTTGAGGTTTATATTAAAAACTAACAGTTAAAATGAAAAGAGATATTTATCCAACATTTGTAATTCCATGAAGTATTTTATTACCTGAGTGTTAGTTAGTATGTACAGCAGCTTCAACAGAGGCACAACGTGCTTGCTGTAGACAGAATGATATAAAGTCCGGAGCCTAATAGTTAGAGTTTTTGTCGGGGTGGATAGTGAACATCTAATATTTGTTATCTACTTTGAAGAATTTTTTAAAAAAATGTATTTCCAAAATATGAATTTAAAAAGCAGATAACCTCTCCAAATGATTTTTTTTTTTAAATAAATCATGAATATGTCAAGTACTAAGTATTCATTCATTAGAGAATACCAAGATAATTGTTATTATCTCATGAAACATCACGGTGAGTCTAAATGTAAGTTTGTTTAAGGTCAAAATAATTTTTTTAATATGACTGTTGTCTTAAATTACCCATTTACTCAAACGGCTTTGAGTTGCACAGATATCTTTGGATTCATTCTGAATACTAAACTAACAATAATTATTTTTTATTGATGCTTAAATGTACACCACATTCTAAGAAACAAAAATGAAGCATCCATGTGTGTACACAAGCATGCAATACTCTCCAGTTCTTCAATGAGATTTTCAATTATCTTTTCAAGGGTTTAATAAGGATCTTTTCTTTAATAACATTTATATGTTATTACAGTTTACTTCAAATAGCTTTTATCCTTGTTTTATGTTATGGGCCGATTCTTACACTGTGTCTGACTGTGTTTATGTATGCACCAAATACAGAAGGGCAAATTACTTGTATGTGTTAACCTACTTGGCAATAAACCTGATTCTGATTCTGATAGTGACAGTACTGGGAACTTAAGGTAAAAGTGAGGCCTCCAGGATGTGAAAGCATCACATCTGCCAGTTTAAACCATGTGAAATAATGTTTCATATATCTTGTGCAGGTGTAATACGGACACTTTTAGGTTATATGTGACTGAGGTGTTTTGAAATTTCATGTTTAGATTAATATCAGCTGATGGTTGATGAGAGTAAGTTAAACAGTGACATGTCCTGAATTTACATTTGATTTCTAGGAAAAATGAACTTTGTTATCAAAAAAAGTAAAGCTTCAATAAAAGGAGACAAACTAAAGGATGCAAAAACATGTAGTCCAGGTGATACTTGGAAACTTTTGGCATATTTCATTAGCGTCCTTCAAAGCGTCTCGGAAAAAATGGATGATGATTCTGACACCCAGACAGAAAACACACACACACACCTGCTGCCTACCTGTCTGGCTGCGGGCCGCCTGCTGTGTGTCCATGCAGTTGGTCAGGTAGGGGGAGTTGCTGAACATCCTGCTGGGGGGCTGGTGGTGGTGGGGGGCCGTCACAGATGGAGGTTGGCTGGGGGGGGCTGGTGCCGTTGGAGGGGCCCCGAACGCCCCGTACCTGCAGGCCCCTGTGCCCGTGAACTGCCCGGAGAAGTGCACAGTGAAGGCGCTGAGGCCGCAGTGAGGGTCCGTCTCGTGCAGGTGGGGGTCGGTGGTGGCCCCCCAGCTTGGCTCCTGCTTGATGAAGGAGTGCGGCCCTAGGGAGGAGTGGGGGGCGGCCAGGGAGGAGTACGGGGAGGCTGCTGGGTGGAAGTCCAGGACGGGAGCCCACTGAGGGGCCGTGCTGACAGGCAGGGCCGGGCAGCCGGGGCTGGGGCCCCCCGAGAGGGGGGGCAGCATGGAGGTGAGGTCACGCACGTCTGAACCCATCGTGGTCCAGGGGGCAAAACTAGGACTAAGGTAGGCTATTTTTAAATTTGATCTGCCTCCCTATTTCTACCTGTCTGCCTCCCCCAAATCAGCCTCACCCTCTAAATCCACGAGAGTCTAGGAAATCTTCTTCACACTGCAGGATTCTATTTTAAGTCTGGTTCGGTTTTCGCCCATCAGTTGTTTACGACGCCACTCTGGAAGCAACTTAAGTCCGGCAGAAGTTCATGGCGATGCAGCAAACTCAAAGGAACTTTTTTCGAGGAGGATGAGGAAGAAAAAAACTTGATGATCAGTGTTGGTCTTCACTGTTTCCCTCGGCAGAAAAAGAATGTTGGGCTCAGAGAGATGGAGTCCATTGAAGGTGGAGAGAGGCTTCTGCTCAGAGCTTTCTCAGTGAATGGAGAGAGAGGAGTGGAGGAGTGAGGAGGAGTACCCCTCTTTTCCCTCCACAATCTCAGCCTGTGTGTGTGTGTATGTGTGTGTGTGTGTGTGTGTGTGTGTGTGTGTGTGTGTGTGTGTGTGTGTGTGTGTGTGTGAGTGAGGAGGGTAGGAGGTGGAGTCAGGAGGTGATGAAGGACAGGAGCCCTCTTCATTCACTTAGTGTATGCTGAACAGTACACACACGCACCCCACACACACACTCAAACATTTTGCAGGAAATATATTCAAAGTGTTACAAAAAAATTATATGTGTCATTGTTTTAGGGTGTTTTGGGTTATGTCGAAAAACTCATCATTATGATTTTGTTTTATCTCAGCTATTTGAGAAAAAAACATCCCATGAACTATGTTGTTTGATATGATTAGAGTTATAGGCTATATCTAGGTTATTGCTGAGAGGCTGATATTATCCCCAGCCATTTTAGGGGTCATAGATAGGCTACATATGTTTAATAAAAATACATTTAACACATTTTTAATCGAAAAAATGCAAAGGTTTCGATTCGATAGTATTTTTCAAACCCTACATTTCAGACAGGATTTGGAAAAAAATACAGAAATGAGTCCTGGCCCCGCGCAGGAATATTGTTAATAGTAAGGTAAAATGACATGAAATACGTAATGTAAAAGAAATGGTTGCGGTTTGTACGGTATACTGAAACCTGCCAGTAAAATTACTTTGCATAATTATTATTGGTTGTATTATTTGTTATTGTTAGAACCAAAGCGGTCCAATTTAAGTTGTGAGTAGATTAATTATCGGTCGCTGATGAACGGCCCGCGGGAGGATACATCTTCTGGGGTTAGGCTTCAAGGCCTACGGGTCTAGTCGTTGTTTACATGTTTAATATTTTGTTCTAAAATCTAGACAAAAGCTGATAAAAGTGTCTTTACAAAAGCCCAGTGACACTGGTGCGTCATTCATTTAAAACATGATTTAGTGTGGTCTGAAAACTACTTTACAGTCCTCGGCTCGGACCTATTTTGACGTAAAAGGTAAAGCAGACATTATTTGGTGAAAATTCAATAAATATTTGTTTACTACCCCGCAGTAAAAATAATCTAGATTTATTCAAACGTTTATATATAAAGTAAACGATAACAAAGTATTAATAATAAAGCTCCGAGTCTTCCTGACACGGTCGGTCGGGTTTCCCCTTAATTCTCTCTCTATTCTCTGTTCATTTTTCATTATCAATTGCGATGATGAATGTCCATATAACCCCGTTGAAAAGTCCGTTTCTTCTTCGTGTGGGAGTGTGTGTGTGCGTGCGTGTGTCGGGGTGGATGCCGGCTTAAAAGGAGGATAACGGCTCATTTGATGCAAATATCATATTTTACCCCCAGTGTTGAAGTGGTCGAAACAGACAGACTTTACCCCGCAGTTCACCCTAAAACTAACCGATAATAACAACACTAATACAACTACTAAATTGATTTGTAGTACAGACATACATTAAACTGTGCAGCATGCACAATTGCTGAATATGTTACCAATTAAATCCTCTTTTAATTACGCACCATGGCACCAAACGAAACTTTTGCCAATAATGCTGAATGTTTTATTTCCTAAATAAACACTATAACTATATGTATTTATTATTCATTTTTATAATTAATTATTTGTTGATTTATAACATGTATTTTATGCTCGTTTTAATTGTAACCTTTCTCTTTCAGTAAGTAACTCTTTATTTTTACCGTCTTGTCTGAGGCTCAGAACCCTGTCCCTGCGCGTGACCCTGCAGCCATAATTTAAGTTGGCCTAAAGACAAAGAGGGGGGAGGACACCTATGATGAAGCATCTCACACACACTGCAACAGAGAAGCTCACTGACACAATATATTGCACTTCACTCTTCAAACGGATTTTCTAAGCAAAATGAAACAGAATGCCTTCATTTGTTTTCCATGAATCTAAAAGTACGTTTAAAGAGACACCACATTCCTAATTCCTAACAATTATGAAGGACGTCATCAGATGAAAATTACCCTGAATAATCAACATCATGTTGTTATACATTTAAAGTTATAACTTAATAATGTCCCGTTTGATGGACTGCTGCAGTGTGTGTACATTTTAAAATGTTTTGAGAGTAATTGACAGGCATGATTCAGATTTGTTTTTAAGCTAAGGTTACTGTGACACAGCAGTGTCTACTTAACTTGAGAAGAGTCAGCTGCTGGACAGAAAAACAATGAGGTAATGTCTTTGTCACTTCATACATTCAGGACATCCAAGTGTGGGCAAAGGAGGAGTGGCTGGAGTTTAAGCGAGTGGCTTAGCCACCTGTCAATCAAGGCCATTAACTCCCCAAACATACTTCAATACAAAGCTTTTTAATTCCCTAAATAATCTATCTATAAACACCTATTTGTATGCACCATTTTAAGTCAAGCATAAAAAACCTATTAAATATGGACACATTTGCTTTACATTTTACGAATAAATATTATTGCACAAGAGAGTTGACCCATAGCTGGGGCGGAAATGTATTGCATATTATATATATCAAAAAAGACTGAAATCATGATCTACATAAAGCATGTAAGCTAAACTTCCACTGAACCTTCCTTCTATTTAGGGAGACTATAAGCTTTCTCAAATAAGTAAACCAAACATACAAAATGTCATACTTCCATCATGTTTTTTTCCACATTATTAACACCTGATTAAGATTTAATGTGCTTATTTGATTATCTAATTGTGTCCTCTTCTCCTGCAATGGTTTAATGGCAGAAATATCACCGCCATCTTTTCTTATAGCATCCACCTTCTAATTTTTGCATAACAAAAGTGGATTAAAACACAGTTTATTTAGCATTCCCCTCTGCCAATTTGATAGACATACAGTTGTGATACTACATTTCAATGGAAACTTGACTGAGACGGAGTTTGAGTTACCTGAGTATCGGCTAGTGGCCGTAGATGAACTACAGCTTACAGTACAACCTTTTTTTTCTTTTTCTTTGATGCTAGAAAACAGGGCATGTAAGATTGTTTTTATTGTAAATGTCTTTTTAAATAATTGCTTTTTTACATTGGCATGGCAACTGTCATGCCAATGGTTTTGTACATGAGCTCTGATTTGCGGTGCGAATGCTGGCAAAGCTCGGGCTTGTTCTGGAAGGTAAAGGACATCGCCTTTCCATTGCATATTTGCTTTCTGTGTAAAAGTATTCATGAAAAAACAACGGCTTGTAAAAAATATATTTATGTGCAACATAATTGCACCAACAAAACCAAACCTGGTGTTTTAGGTCCTTTAAGTTTAGGTGCTTGACTCATGAGAACTGAGCATATTGTTGCTTTAGAGAAAGTTTGTTATCAAACTGAAAATAATTCCATCACTGTTTTCTGGCCTTTGCCCACACTCAGGTCTTGCGCCAATATCATTTTCTCATACTTTGTGTGTGTGTGTGTGTGTGTGTGTGTGTGTGTGTGTGTGTGTGTGTGTGTGTGTGTGTGTGTGTGTGTGTGTGTGTGTTTGAGAGTGTGTGTGTGTGT